TCAATAGGAAACAGAAGAATTAAATTTTATAATTTAAAATATAATGTAACTGTCTTTTGAGACAGATTGTAATATTTCTCAATAAACAAGTTCTAAAAAACAACAAACAAATTTTAAAATATTAATATTTAAAATATAATGTAACTGTCTTTTAAGACAGATTGTAATATTTCTCAATAAACAAGTTCTAAAAAACAACAAACAAATTTTAAAATATTAACATTTAAAATATAATGTAACTGTCTTTTGAGACAGATGGTAATATTTCTCAATAAACAAGTTCTAAAAAACAACAAACAAATTTTAAAATATTAACATTTAAAATATAATGTAACTGTCTTTTGAGACAGATTGTAATATTTCTCAATAAACAAGTTCTAAAAAACAACAAACAAATTTTAAAATATTAACATTTAAAATATAATGTAACGGTCTTTTGAGACAGATGGTAATATTTCTCAATAAACAAGTTCTAAAAAACAACAAACAAATTTTAAAATATTAACATTTAAAATATAATGTAACTGTCTTTTGAGACAGATTGTAATATTTCTCAATAAACAAGTTCTAAAAAACAACAAACAAATTTTAAAATGTTAACATTTAAAATATAATGTAACTGTCTTTTGAGACAGATTGTAATATTTCTCAATAAACAAGTTCTAAAAAACAACAAACAAATTTTAAAATATTAACATTTAAAATATAATATAACTGTCTTTTGAGACAGATTGTAATATATCTCAATAAACAAGTTCTAAAAAACAAACAAATTTTAAAATATTAACATTTAAAATATAATGTAACTGTCTTTTGAGACAGATTGTAATATTTCTCAATAAACAAGTTCTAAACAACAACAAACAAATTTTAAAATATTAACATTTAAAATATAATGTAACTGACTTTTGAGACAGATTGTAATATTTCTCAATAAACAAGTTCTAAAAAACAACGAACAAATTTTAAAATATTAATATTTAAAATATAATATAACTGTCTTTTGAGACAGATTGTAATATTTCTCTATAAACAAGTTCTAAAAAACAACAAACAAATTTTAAAATATTAACATTTAAAATATAATGTAACTGACTTTTGAGACAGATTGTAATATTTCTCAATAAACAAGTTCTAAAAAACAACGAACAAATTTTAAAATATTAATATTTAAAATATAATATAACTGTCTTTTGAGACAGATTGTAATATTTCTCAATAAAAAAGTGATGATTCGAAGTAGAAATCACTAAAGTTTTTATATATATATATATATATATATATATATATATATGCGTGTGTGTGTGTGTGTGTGTGTGTGTGTGTGTCCCTCTACTGAACCATACCATAAAATACCAATTTTTATGTCATACTTAACATAATCCTCCCATCTACTCTTTGATCGATTCACCCCTAGCCCCTAAATTTACGTTTTAGTGATTCCTTTAGACACCTTGTGAAATATTTAAGGTTAAGTTTATTATTAGATCGGTTTCATTAGTTTAATAAATTAATTCATGAAACAAGAGAATATTATTTGATACTGAAATTTTGTTTAATGCACCGGAAGAATCGTCTCGTGTTGCTTTTCTCTATATGAGGAATAATTGTACTAGCTGATAAATATGAATCAATATTCAGAACTTGCCATTCTTTTTTATTTATTATATAACATACATTTAAAAAATATATAGTGATTATCTTGTGAATATCCATTTTTATTTTATTACTGTTCTCAAAATGATTTTCGTCTAGGAAAAGTTTTTCTCATTAACTATTTCGATTCAATAGAGAAGGTTCCAAACTAGCTAGCTATATTTAAAACTTTCTTGAGCCCCTGAGCAATCTCATTGGAGTTTCCACCCTTCGCTTCACACCGTCCCCTCGGTAGCAACACAAAAATGTACAACATAACATAGATATAATAAAAGATTACCTCACAGCAGTTCGGTATAAAGTTTCAAAGGAATTTTCAAAAGTTCTCTAGAATTTAAAAAGAAAAAACTTAGCTCGAGATTAGCTGAATTAGGAAACTTTTTCCTTTAAGTGGTTTGTAATCTCCTTATTTCTTTTTCTTTGGTTTTGAACATAATGTTCCAAAGAACAATAATGTAAAAATAAATAAAACATACATAAATTTTCTTTTATATATTTATAAGAAATATAACTTATTTAAAACGTATAACGTATAACACTAATCAAATAATTTCAATTAAGGTGTAAACTTTATTTACTAACCAGATCATTGGAGTTGATGAACGCTCTTAAAATTGGAGGAATATATAAATTGTATAGTTAAACCTCTTTCGATAGAGAACCTTTTTGGCTAATAATTATATATATATATACGTTTAATATTAGCTATTATTTAAGATTAAATTATTATTTTCCCTCATTAAATGAGGAAAATAATCATCAACTTGTGTTTTGAGTTTTTAATTGAAAAAAGTTTAACGATATCTTGTGATCATCTCAGAAGCATATATTAAAAAAAAAGAGCTTAATTTTTCAAGCTCTTGGATAAAAGTGCTGTATTGATAACTTTATAACTTTGTATATTGTATTTTTACAGCGGTTCTTCTAGATTCACGTTTACCAAAGCTATTACGTTTCTCGATCCTTTTCTTGTTCAAAGTCTTTGGAATATGCTAATACTATTAGCTATTAATACTAATAGGGAAATAAATATTATTTCCTCCATAAAACGAAAGAGAATATTAATATTAATTATATTAATTGATAATCGTATTACCAGTTGCAAATTAATGAACGGTTTTTAAATATAAGTTATATAAACATCTTAAAATTCTAAAATGACGTTTCAAACCCGTTATAAAATTTCAATTTTAAAGTGATAAGGGAAAGTACTCTTGAAAAATTGAACTCGTATTAATAATGATATATATATATATATATATATATATATATATATATATATATATATACAAATTGATATTCATTAAAAATTAAGTAATTATAGCATGTTAATATTACTAATAATACTACTACTGAGGATCTGCAGAGGCTAGGAGATGGGCGAGAATTACACGTCTAATAGATTACTTAATTTACGAGACTGATGGGTCCCATCCCTCAACTTGGGGTGCAAATGTTGACAAACCATTCTACAGCAACTTCTTAAAGCTAGGTTATTGCTCAATTTTGTGGTTCCATCAGGCTTTGAACGCTGTCAGAGTACGAGTACTAATTCAAAAAATATCGTTGAAAGCTATTTCGGGACAAGAAATGATTATAATTATATTAATATTATTATATCAATTGAACTCAATTCTTGAAGAAATCACAAGCTGACAGTATTGCGCAATCTTAAAATTATAGTATTTTCATTAACTATTTCTCTCACTGCATAATAATGAAAATAAATACTAAAGTAATCCGAAAAGTTAAAATGAATTGATACATGACTGCACGTGATATTTTAATTATTAGAATTGACCGAAATTTCGTTTTGGATATTACAATATAATACACTTCAGTATCGAAGTAATTTAAAATCTAAATAAACCGATACGCCAGCGCGCTATCTAAAAATCGATATTATTTTTAACACTATCGATGAAATTTGAATTATTAAAATAAATATATACAGACGTTAAAATTTTTAGTATTTCGAAAACTATCTCTCTAAAAACGGACTATATTATCTCAAAAAATTGGAAGGTATAAAATACTCATGTTAATAGTGATCGAAAATATGATCAATGGAAGTGGTTTAGGAAATAAACAAAATATTAGTTGTTATGCAGATATTGCAGATAAAACTAAATAGTTTTCAATTTATTATTCCGAAATAAAAATGTATATGTGTCTTCCTAAGCAGGGCATTCAGTAGCTACTCAAGAATAATTTAATTTTTAATGAATTGGTGACCAAACATTAATTATTAATTATCTATCTATCTTAATGGATCTACAACCCTTAGTGGGTCCTGGCCTCCTCAACGAGCTTCCGCCAAATTTCTCTATTTTGTGCGGCCGCTTTCCAATTCCTGACTCCCATCAAGTCTTTCGATTCGCCTGCCACACCATCTCAATTTCGGTCTGCCAGCTCTCCTTGTATAGTGTAATGGTTCTTCAAGCATTCTTATCAGGATTTCAGATCTCTCCATCCGATCTATGTGTCCTGCCCAACTTAACCATCCAAATTTTATCATCCTTGCCACATAAGGTTCATTAAACAATTTGTAGACCTCTCTATTCTTCCAAATATTCTTCTAAGGATTTTCCTTTCAAAGACCAGAGGGTCT